CTTGGCAAAAAAAATTTTTTTACTATTTCAAAATTCAAATTTTTAATATTTTTTTAGTTAGTTTTTTAATAAATTTATTTAGGTTTATATATAGTTTACAATTTTTATTATTATTTAAAACTAGTTAAGCAGTTGTATAGCATTTTACAACAACCCTTTTTGATAACTATTTGGACCAAACCTTTTGATAAAATAAAATAAATTTTGCTAAAGCTAGAGGCAGAAACAAATATATATTAACAGTTTCTATAAAAATTAACCAAGTTGATTCTCTATCTATATAGCTTGAGACTTCTTTATATAATTATTATGCAAGTTAAAAGCATTTTTGCACAAGATAATTGCAGAAGTATGTGTTTTTATACAAAAAATTTTAATAGAAGAAGTTTTTTATCTTCAATAACAAAGTTAATTATATCTGACTTGTATAAGAAACAGCAAATAACTTTTCTAAAGAAGCTTAATACTCTTTTTTTGGCCAAGTAGTTTCTTCTCTTTTTTTCAGTTCTTAATTGGTCTTTCAAATTTTTTTTGCAAAAAGTAAGGATTTGGCTTATCTCTTTCAAAAAATTAATACTATTTACTTTCCAAATTATAATAGATTAGTAGATAGCAATATATATTTAAAAGTAAATATGATATTTGGATGCAAAAATAAGTCCTAGTTGAAAAAATTCCTAATTGTAACAGTAAATAGCTTGAGATATGGTCTATAAATGGCAGCAGCATCTAGTTTAAAATATAAATTAGATTTATAGAAATATCCAGAGTTGGGTTAGAGTAAAATTTAATATTAAGATATTGTCTTATAGTAGAAATATATAAATATTGTGTTTAGTATATAATTTTTTTTAACTATGTGCAAGTTATAATAGTGCACTAGATTGTTTATTTTTTTTTTCTTTTATGTTTTTTTTATCTTTTTCTCTTTATGATTAAATGGCTTTTAAGACTTCTTTTTCTTTTTTTTATTTGGATTTTTTCTTTTTTTTTCAAATTTGTTTTTTTTTCTTTTGTAAATATAGCTATTAATTTTTTTTCTTATATAAAAGTAAAAGACAAACTTTTTTGTTAAATATAGGTAGGAAGAATTCTAAAGAAAAAAGAAATAGGCAATCTGAACAAGTTTGCAATAGGCTTATATTAACTTATAAATAAAAATGTTCACTGGGCTAGATATGTTGGAGTATCAGCTTTTGTACAAAGTAAACATATAGTTGTGGCCAGTGTTCAGAATTGAGCTAGCTCAATTAGGCTCATTAGAATTTGGGGTTGGCTTGATTTTGGCTTAAAAGGCTTGTGAGCTGATAGTACAAATTATGTAATACAATTTTCACTTTTAATTTACATCATATGATATTTTCTTTTATTTCTGCTATTAATAATTAATAGCAGAGATAGAAGAAAGTATTGTATAATATAAACTAATAGTAGAAATTGTATTACGTAATTTGTACTATTGGCTTACAAGCCTTTTACATCAGGAAAATTTTTTTATTGCAGTTCTGTGCAGATTTGCAAAAAAATCAAATAATAAATCAAATGAAAATCTGCGCAAAGTTCAAATTTGATACTATAAATGCAGAAATTAAATGCAGTTCTGTCCAAAACTTCAAATTTTAAAAAATTTTGCAGATTTTTTATAACAATTCTTCAAAAATCTGCAAAAATACAGATTTTTGCAAATTTGCACTTATTTAATTTTCCTGATGCAAGCCATAATTGAGCCAACCCCAAATTCTGATAAGTCTAATTGAGCCGGCTCGATTCAGAACACTGGTTGTGGCAGATCACATATAAGCACTAAAGGTTGGCATTTGATACAGATGATGAGGCAGCAGTGACCTTTTATTGTGTATGAGAGTAAGTATTAGGGACTGGTATTTAGCTAGTACTTTATACAAATGTATTTACATTATTGCTTTCTCAAATAATAAAAAGCTGAATTGCCAAAGAAAAAAAAAAACTAGTTAAGCTACTTTAATATAAGGTACTAAACTAATTTTTTAATTCTTAATAAAAATTTTTATTAAATCAAATTATTTTAATTGGTTATTATGGATATTTTTGGTAAAATATAAAATTTTTTAATTATTTTGTTTTTTCTTACAATTGCAAAAATTTTAATATAAATAAATATAATTTCTTGTGTTGAGTTTTTTATAAAAATATTTTATTAATATTTATTAAATTTTTTAAAATTTTTAAATACTTTTTAAAATCAACCCAATTTATCTAAAAGAACAATTAAAAATATATAGTTATCATTTGTTGATAATAGATAATAATTTATTTCAAATAATTTGTTAATTTTAAAATTCAAAAAAATCACGAAAATTTTGTATTTAACAATTCTAATTATCGCGGTTTTCGAAATAGTAGAAATTGGGCAAAAAAAATTTTTTTTGGTGTATACCCGTATACTGTGTATACTCGAATACCGGCTGCACCTGAAATAATTAGACGTGTACTGTAATTGTTTTAGTAAACAAAGTAAACAATAAGTACGTACGTACTGTACGTAAGTATTGATCTTCCATCTATGTGCTAAGGTAATCCGGTATCAATAAAATATTTTACAGCCGTAAAACCTAATGAGTTAAAAGTAAATGCGTAAGCTAATCATAATAATACGCGTTTGATAGGAACGTGCATACTTTACAAGAAGTTAGAAAATACCCAATTTTTAAAACAATAAATTGAATTTCTTCACTACAGTATGATTTTCATCGATTGATATTGATTATTACAGTTATTACAGGGTATCATAGCCACGATCACCAAAATTTCCTGGAAATTTATTAAAAAAATAATTTAAACCTCGAGGTATAAACGCGTGGGCATGTAGCCTAAAATAAATAAAATATACATTAATGATGAAATAAATGTTGCATAACCTAAAAAGGTATGGTGTAATTGAGATTTGTTCCGATTATACATCATAAATCATAAATCATAAATTGGAGAAGTTTTAATTAATTGAGGCTGGCTTAGCGCCACGTATTAGATTTCTATTTTCTATTATGTGATCGTGTAAAAAAAAAAAAATTTAGCGCCTTGAATCTAAAAATGGCCAATGATTAAAAAAAAAAAATTTTTTTTTTTTGTTAGGCACATGTACAGATCACTTGAGAATGATGAAATTAATCTCTTTTTTTTTTTTCAAACGGTCGTACCATTACTATCACACCCTAAAAAAGAAGTTAGAATTTGCGTTGGGAATTAATAAGTAATAAGAATTTTAAGATGATGTAAATATAAATATTAAAGGTAATCAAGGAAAGGAAACATTGCGAATTAGGACTAGAAAAGTTATTGTTCGAGAATTTCCCTAACTTTTAAAATGAGAACATAGTGATAGATAGGAAAATAAGTTTCTATAATTGATAAAGAGAAAATGTAATTGAATTATAAAACTCGAGAATTTTTTGCATCTCAAATATGAAAATCTGAAAATCTGAAAAGCGACCCCAGATCTTAAAATGATCAGTGTTTCACAGTGATATCTTTGACGTGTTTATCTGTTATTACGTAACTCAATTCAGCATTCCATGACAGATGAGTAAAAAAAAAAGAATCTCTAGGTTAAAGGCAGAATATACTTGTCATGAAACAGGCAAGAAAAAACAAATAAAACAAATAAATAAATAATTTGCTAGCTTTTGTCAATAAAACTTGATCGTTTTTTCGCAAACGTATATATATATATTACTAAGTCATAGTCATAAAATATGAATATAAATACCGGTGGGTAATCACGTGATTGAAATCCGATCCGATCACGAATCACAGATACAGAAAACACTTGACTTTACGGCCATTAACGGAACTTACGGGACTTACGGAACTTACGGAAGTTTTTCGGAGAATAAACAATATCCGCAGATGATTCATTGTCAGTATAAGAAAATTGACAATGTTTTTTTTTTTTCAGCCTTTAAGAAAAAAAACGAACTTCAAGTTTAACATTAAACGATCAACTACACACATGGATGCAATGCAACTTTTTTATGGAGAATCCTCACGCGCCATGTCATATTGTCGACTAACTATTGAACGACATAAATTTGAATAGTAAAGATAAAAATAAAAATAAAAATAAAATTTCAACAAGGTCTTGAAATATTGTAAAGAATATCAATAAGAATACTACCGGTTTAAGTACTTAATGATGTAGATTAGCTGTTGTACTTTTATATTTACTCCTGATAGTAATAATAGTAATAATAGTAATCAACAAAGCGAATAACGATATGATTAACGATTTGTAAAAGGGGAGAAAATCTGTATGTCACCCTTATAATCCTTTAGGTAATCAGTCATCACATTTATATAATGAATGAAAATCAGACCTTTTATTGAGACCCCAAAACTGTCACACGAGCAGACCCCCACAAATGGTAGTAATTAATATATACATGGGCCAATGCGTGACACCGCATCCGAAGCGAATACTCATGATATTCAAAAATTTTATTTAGCATTATTTAGCATTATTTAGAATTTACGCATACGTACTATTTCATAATTATCTCTTTGCATACCTACACTTTTTTTTTATTCTATTGAATTTTTATTTGCATATTCCAAATTTTAATCCTTGCTTAGCATTAAAGATTAAAAACAAAGCATATCTTGTTTAAGCCAAAAGAAAGAAATTTTTCTGGGGGTAAAAAAAAGATAATTTTAGATAATATAGAAATAGTAAACTAGTAAGAAGAATTTATTAGAGCTGTCAGTTTCTAAAAGTCAATTAAAACTTGCTTACATACATATTAAGATTGGCGGTTTTGAACGAAAATCATTAATAAATATTTATCCAACTTATAAGGAGACGATTTTCATGGAAATGTACGCTTTATTATCCCCAATAGTTTAAAACATATAGAAAAAATGAATATCACTAATCGAACTAATCGAGATAAGTAAGAAAAAAAAAAAAAAAAGTTTTTTTTTTTTTTTTTTTATATTTATTTAGATATTATTAAATCAACAATTAAATGCCTCGTATGCTCTTTTATTGCAACTACACGTGTATATTAGATATTTTTTACCTATATGCTAGCAAAATCATACAGGCATCAAGTTTATCTGTACTTTTTTTATATCATCAAATGCGAAGCATATGTATATAAACTTTTTTAAGTATGAACATCGACCATATATGAAGTTTCGTGTAAAGGTATTCGATTACCCCACCTGTTCTATTCATAATTCACGTCAATGACAATTTCAAGATAAAAAGAAATTGTTAATACTTGCATGAGAATAACATCAAATTACTTCTCACGCGCGATTCTTCTTTGTGGCGTTAAAAATTAATAATCATCATCATTCAATAGTAACAATAAAGTTTGGCAAAAATCAATGCAGTTGGACATGTTGCCCACGGGGTCCAGGAAACTATGACAAAACAAGACACGTCTAAGATTAGGAACATGAACACAAAGTATGTTGGCTGAACCTTGAATTTGTTGGATTGGTTCAATTTTGGTTTCTTGATCATATTGGTTCCGATACCTCTCGCACATGGTTTTTTTTTTTAAAAAAAAAGTACAGTAAATTAAATACTACGGTTATCTATGATTTTATGATTGATAATGAACATAATGCTAATAATTCCCTTTGTTCTTCTTTTTGAGAATTTCCCTTTGAATCATATCATAAATAAATTTTTTTTTTTTTTTAAGAATATCTATCAGCACAGTTTCTTTCTTTGTAACAAACAGAATAATCCTTTAAGAATATTGTACGGTAATAACTTATTAAGGTATCTTCTCACAAAAAATAAGTATCTTACTAAGGCTTATCAAAGATAAATCATTTTGGGGTTCGTTGTTTTTTAGGAGCATCGGATTTTTTTAATTTCAGGTAATTTTTTGTTTATCCCTGTGACTTAATAAAATTCGGATGTGATACAACTTTTTTAAATAAACAGACGACTTTTTTTTTACTAACCCGAAAATATGCACGGACTTCCATTATTTAATTAATTTAATTTAATTTAATTTAAGCAAGTTTTTCTATAAAATATATAAGCATTTATTATAGTTATATAACACTGTTTACACTGTTATGACTGATATGACTATTATGACACCAGAGACATCACATCAATTTAATATATGCTACACATATAATACATATATATCAATCGATCGACAATTAATATAACTACATTTAATATGATAATCATTTTATAATAGAATGCGTATATCTGATATGTGTTTATGTGTATATATATGTGTATATGTATATATGTATACTTTTTTTTTTTTTTTTTTGATGAATAATCTTGATTTGCAATTATTTGTGTACTTTTGTTGTTAGTGTAAAAATATAAACACAAGTCGGTCCATGCACCTATGTATATACGAAATGCGGGGAACTAGCTCATGTTTCTATATCAGCTGCCGTGTGTTGCACATCCAACCATTTTAACGTACTATATATTTGTTTCTTGTGTATATGTATATATGTATATATATATATTGTATTTATTTACTGGTATTTTATTTATTATTTATATATTATTTTTTTAAATCACTTCAATGCATTTATCACAATTTGTAATTATTACATTTTATATATTACACGCACACATCTTACTTATCCTACTTATCCTACTTGTTATTATTATACTTATGCTATAATATTTTTTTTTTTTTTTTTAAACTGGGTTGTTTTACGTTACATATATTTTGCATATAAATTCTTTTTTTTTCACGGGTTTGATGATTTTATTATATAAACTCTCGAATTTTACGTACCAACTTTTTTTATCAATCTCAATAAAATCTTAAAACTTTGGGCGTTTAAATAAAAAAATTTTTTTCTTGCAAAGTTTACAAGTTTATTTTTTTTCTTCGTCAAATATACATTTCGTAAAGTTACATTTCGTAAATATACATTTCGTAAGATACATTTCGTAAATATACATTTCGTAAATATACATTTCGTAAATATACATTTCGTAAAGATTAAATCGGCGATAACAAGAACGACATATGGATATTACACATTTGATCAGGTAAAATTGATGTTCCTTCTTTCGATATTCAAATAATATCTAGTGGATATTTAGTGAATATCTAGTGGATATTTAATAAATTTAATAAATTTAATAAATTTAATAAAATTTAATAAATTTAAATAAATTTAAATAAATTTAATAATCTTGACATATATTTTTTTTAAATACAATAATAGTCATAATTCAAATCCTTTGAATAAACAAAAACCACCATCACCGTTACCAATATCACCTCGTCATGAAACGTTAACATATACACATTTACAAAAAAGACAAAGTCTTCCACATATGATGACACCTTCTCAATCACAAATTCATCGTGGACAAGACCATCATCTTCCACCATTTCTTTCACCACCACTTTCACATGCATCTCAACCTATGCTACAAACTCCGATATCTGCATCAATGAATTTACCATCACAACCTTCAATGATGCATCATCAACAAACGTCATCTCAACAAACTCAAATTCAAAATTCAATAGAGATGCAACAACCTATTCAATCACAAACTACTCAACTTCATCAACAAACACAATCTCAACAACAATCACAATCTCATACACCACCAAATCGTCGTATAGCTCATATTTTATCTGAACAAAAAAGAAGAGAAAATATAAATTCAGGTTTTGAAGAACTTAAAAGTATAGTACCAAGTTGTCGTGGATGTGCTGATTCAAAAGCTATTATACTAAGAAAAGGTAAATATTTTTAAAGTTTTTCCTTAAATGCCAAGTAAAATACGTGAAATGTGAATTTGTGAATGTGATAAAGTGGTACAGATTTATTCACATGGGAATAACACTTATAATCAACCAATAAAATTTTTCCTTATAATGTCAATAATGTTTGACAAATTGGATTATCTAAAAAAATTAAATTATTTTATTTATTTTATTTATTTATCTTTTTCGTTTCTTTAATATTTCGTTACGTTACTATATTTTTTTTTAATTTTAATTATTATTATATTATGTTATACTATATACCCTTATACTATATTTTACTATATTTTACTATTTACTTATAATACTATTTTTATACTATTATTATATCATTATTATACTATTTTATACTTTTTAATAATAATTACTATTATTATCATTATTATTATTATTACTCTTTTTAGCCGCACATTATATTCAAGCACTCGAAGCACAGATACAGAAATTAAAGCAATCTAATAGTGGTTCAACAACTCCAAATACTTCATCAGTTACGACACCTCCTTTAGTATCACCTGTAATGTCGGTGAAGTCCATTCCTTCAGGTCATATACATATGCATGGAGGTGTAAATGGTAATTCTATGTATGCAATAAATGATTTTAATCATCAAAGAATTGGTGATGAAAAAAAATTACAACAACAATTAGAGCAACAAAAATTTATGGGTCAATGGCAAACTAATCGATTAAATCAAAATTATTTGTCTGAATCTAATTATCAACAACAACAACAACAACAACCACAATCACAACCACCACCGCCACCACCACCATCTCATCATCAAAGAAATCTTTCTTATCCAATACCTCGTCATCATTCTCAATATCATTATCATGATCAACAACAATTAAAAACTGAAAATATGGATTGGATTTCTGGTGGTGATAAAAATCTTCATTATAATAATTATGAAAGTAAGATACATCATCAACAATCTTATCATCGAAGGTATCATCCTTATCATTCTGATATGAATACTTCAAGAGCAAGTCCACCACATTCTATGGGAAGGGTAATGCTAAAACACGAAATACATGATCAGACTTATAAATAAGTATATGGTATAAAGGCTATTAAAAAAATTTTAATCTCTTGGTTCTCCTGGTTCTCTTAGTTCTCTTTGGTTCTCTTGGTTCTCTTAACAAATGAAATAACCCGAAAACCTGGTTTCGGCCGAGTTATTAGAACCTCAATTTGTATAGCCAAATACCTAATACTGTAATAATAACGAACGAACAATTTAATCACGTGAAAACACGGTCAATAATTATGCATGTAATATGTTAAAAGCAATGTTAGTTAGTAATGTTAACGAAAGTAGAAAAAATTAACGGTTGTTTAGATTGTTAGAAAATTTAATAGCTGGTTGTTTGTCAAAAAAAAATAATAGTTTTTTTTTTTTTTTTTTTTTTTTTCTGAGAATTTAATTTTTTAGAATTGTTTGTTAGTTTTGAATGAGAAATTTATTAATTTGATGCGAAATAATAATACAAGTAAATATTTACAAGTATTACAAATATTACAAATATTACAAATATTACAAATATTACAAGTATTACAAGTATTAGAAAAACAAAAAACAATGTATTCAATTTTTTTTCTGTAGAAAGTTCTAACTTTCGTGTAGTTAAAAACATGTAGTTACACTATTAAAAAAAAAAAAAAAAAAAAAAAAGTTTTTTTTCGCGATTAAAACAAGATTTCGTGGAACGATTTTGTAAATCCACGCTGGTTCTTTAACCTGTTTATTTTTTCATATTGTACTCGGTTTTGTTTGTCCATCATCCTGTTTACAGTATCTTTTTCAAAAAAGTTAATCGGGTTGACTTTTCTTTTTTCTGTGATTCAAAAAAAAATGTTTAACTTCCCGAAAAATGGGGGCTATGACGGAGTTTATCGGGAATGTGACTTGATAGAAAAAAGACCGCCGTGATTATGATTATGATATATTTTATTTTGTGAGAAAAAAAAAGATTTTCTTTTTTGTTTATTTCAAAAATGTATGTGGGGAGGAAAAAACACGAGTTGAGGCGCAATTTAAACATGTGAACGATTTCATCAGCGATCAAACTGTTTAACTGTTTTTAAAAAAAAAATTGCGTAATAACGACAAATCAGATTATTATATATACATATATACATATATACATATTAATATATATATATATACGATATACGTACGAATATATATATGTGTATATATATACTGACACATATATATATATATATATAAGTGTAATTTTTTTTTTTTTTTTTGAGGCTTAAAAAGACAATGTAGCTTTCGAGATTTTCATTTGGAGGCTTAAGAAAATGTGGGAATACAGTAGTGTGAAATAACGAAAGATAATTTATAAGTGTAACCAAACCTAATCTTGACGTTAAAAATTCATTAGTTAGTTAACTAGAGATGGCTTAGAAAATCTAAAGAGATTTAAAAAAGATTTAAAAAAGATTTATAAAAGATTTAAAAGATATCGATATGAAAAAAAAAAATAAGATTTCGACAAAAATACCATCGTGTTTATGTTACGTATTCAAAGGCTTGGTAAGTATCTTGCCTTTTTCAAGAATATCTTGTTAAAGTTTATGCATAAGGCTGCGTTTCTGCTGAAAAATGGATGATAATTAAGGTATTGAGCAGCTGAACATCATATTTGCGTAATGGATTACATGATTCTTTTCTAATGTTTTCTTAAAAAAAAAAAAAAATTAATACTAAAAATCGGATAAATCATGTTATAGACCCGGTTCGAGACCTCGTGTACTCTCTCAAAAAAGGTAATTTCCTGTTTCATATTTTTGGCAACGATGTTTTACTAGGCTTTCGTGTGTGATCACAATTTCAATATTCACCATTGTTGTGTTAACCTGTTTCTTTCTACTTTAATTATTAAAAAAAAAAAAAAAAAAAAAATTTTCACATTCTAACGTGAATATATTTGACACTAAAAAAAATTAGTAATTTATTTTCAACTTTTTTCTACTTGATTTTCTCACATTATGCAAGATAAAAAGATGTCAACATATCAGTCACATGGGTTGTATGAGAAGGGTATAGTAAAAGACCAACATCTGGTCGCGCACGAGCCCCCTTACACAAAAGCCCACCACATGTCTAGTGTAAATTTTCACTACACCTATTACACCTATGGCGCTTATAAATAACATAATAAAAATGAGGCACACTGGCTGATCAATTTTATTACTTTTGACACGACATTTTAACTAACCAAAGGAAGAAAAATTAAAAGAGAAAAAACCATTAGGAATTATGTTGTAAGTACCCGAGCATCAATTTAAGTTTGTTTCACACGCTCTATTGTACGTACATCTATTAGTATGTGTTAGTATTTATTGTATATTCATTATAATGCTGTTAAAATGCTGTTACATTAACTTACATTAACTGTGGCGTATCTACGTATATCGTTTTTTTTTTTTGCATACTAATATCGATATCTATATGCACGAAAAAAAAACAGATAGTGTCAATTCTTACGCTAGCTAAAGAAATTATTATTATATTATTATTAGATACTTTTATTTTTTTATTTACGTAATTTTTTTTTTATTACAAATTTTAAATTACATACTTTTTATTATTATTAAATAATATCAAATATTATTAATATTAATTTCGATCAATGATTATAATAGTTTTGCTGCGCCAATTAAGTATTACGGTAAAATATAATTAATAAAAAAAAAAAATAAGATAAGGAACGCATTGATGTAGTGATCAAGTATTATCTCATGATGACAAAAATAAAAAATTTTTTTTTTTTTGTGCATTAAAAAGAAATAAATAATTTATTGAAACTCTATAAACTTACATAAAACAACTCATTTTAATATATATACTTCCGCATAAGGTTCCTAAGGATCTTGAGATCTCATCATGCCGTAAGACCACAGGGGAAAGAAAAAAGTATATCTTATTATTATTATGATATGTATTATTTATGATTTTCTATTTACATTTGACTCTCCTTTCCTCATTTACCAGATTTGTCATTCGATTACGAAATGTACTGAAGAATGAATAGTGTGATACATACATTACATAACTATCATGACTATTTTGGTATCAGAAGAGTTTACGTAACCTTAACGTTAGTCTAACGCTAGTCGCCGAGATAATTATGGAGATAATTATGGAGATAATTACGAAAGAAAAAGAATAAAAAAATCTAGAGCTAAAAAAATTTAGAGAGATAATCAATCAAAAGTTTTAATACATTACTGTAATAAAAAAAAAACATTTTTTTATTGCTGTAATCCACACAACGCATATTTTAACGTTACGCTATCATCATATTTACAAAACAAAAATAAAAAATAAAATTAAATTATAATTGACAGAATATTTAGCATAATATTTAGCATATATATTTTGTTAACAAATATATATATATAGCGAATAAACTCACCGGAAACCAAAAATTAGGGTACAATATAAAATTAAATGCGTAAATCGCGTCAAGTAACATTAATTTTTTTGTGTATTTTGTACACTTTAACAAATTGACGGAATTTCCAGAACGAACAAAATTGACATCGTAATCTTAATAATTATAATGAAGTACGTAAAAAAAATTTTTGATATACTTTATTGTTTTGATTACGTTGGAAATTTATTTAATATTCAAACGCGTAACCTTGTGTTAATGTTATTTTATTGTGTAAACCTTTTTTTTTTTTCCTTAGTCAACTATAGTAGTAAACTCCGCACTTGTAAAAATTTTATAAAATGTTGTAACACGGATTATTAGTAAAGAAATAATATCCGTGACTAATCAGGAAACGGTAAAAAATTTTGTGCTACAAATTTGTTTCAATCTCTTACAAAAAAAAATAAAAAAATAAAAAATTCAAGGTTTCTTATTTTTACTCGAAACAAAAAAGAAAAAAAAGCGCGATAGTTTTTTTTAACGATCTTCATTGCATATTACAGTATTAATGCTTAAAAAGAAAATTCCATTCAAATATTTCTCTTTTTTCTTTTTTTTTTCAAAGTAGATCATTAATAAATTTCTATTATAATAATGGTTCGTTTCAGAACAAAAGCGTAATGAAGATCATTATTTCTAATACGTAAAATTTTCGATTTTATATATTTTTTCAATTAGTATTAGGCTAATTAGTGCATATTTCAAACAAACCTTAGTTTCCTTTACATTAACGTTAAAAAAATTTTTAATTTTTTTTAATCGATTTAAAGAGGATATAAGGTAATTCGGTCTTCGGTCCGGGCTGATTTTGATAAACAAAAAAAAAATAAACTTTTTTTATATTACGGTAGTAATAATATTAATAACTCAGCAGTCAATAAAATAACTAACTTAATAAATATTCAATAATCAATAGTCAATAGTAAATAGTAAATAGTAAATAGTTAAACATAATACTGTAATAGTAAACAACTTATTAACTGTTATCGTTATATAACATTAATACTGTTAATTCAACGAATATTACCGAATGAATAATTAACGAATAGTTGAATTTACAGTAATAATTAATAACATTAATTCAATAAAAAGTTTAATATCGGGGAAGTGAATGCCGAATAGATTGATTTTATCATACATTTTTTTGATTAAACATTATGCGTGTACTTGAACTCTGTTTGACTTTATCAATTTATATATAATTATATACTATATATATATATATATATAATAATTCGGGCACATTTTTTTTGCAATACCATTATTTTCAATATAACCGAAAGTGGAAGCGTAAGGAAACCAATAAAATTAAAGGAATCAAAGTTAAACGTAATCCTACTTGCTGAAAAAAAAACCTAAATTATAAAAAATAATTCTAATTTTATTTTACTGTAAAAAGATACAGTAAAAAAATGATATACATATACAGTAATTAAGTTGATATAAAGTATAAAGAAAAAAAAAAATTTAAAATCGATATGACTAAAAATGGTTAGAATAAAAATCAATTATACAGTTATATCTATGATTTACCCTTTAAAAAAAGAAAAAAAAACGGTCATTAACGATAAAGTAGATAAAGTAGGACTAAATTCGATAAACTGTTTTGCGCATTTGTTTAAGATTGATTGGTACGTTAACTTAAATGCCGCAGTTTCCATGTTTAATTTTAAGCATTAACAAAGCCAAATTACTAAATTTGATAAAGATCTAACATATATATTTCCGGATAGTCTTTCGTACACTCCGTTTTTGAGTTTATTTCTTCCTGTAAAATTTGACTTATGCGAACTCAATGACGCAATTAAAATACTAGTGTCAAAGTCAAAAAAAGCCAATAAATTATTCTTGGAATATAAGAGTATGCGAGTTTTCTTATCATTTGCATATCTGTAATTCTTTGAATGCCTAATATTTTACATTATTCTTACATTATTTTTACATTATTTTACATTATTTTACATTAATTGCATGCCAAACCAACATTTTCTTTTGCTTTTAATCGTCTGATTCAGTAATTCCTGTCGTGACTCAAAATGTGTAATCCAAGTGTGTGTATAAAACGATAAGGCTTATGCTTATTCACGCCTTCGTCCTCGTGCTCGTTGAACCCTTAAACTTTTACATCTTTTGATCGAATTAAATGGTAATATAGAAGCTTTATCATGCAAACATGTGGATAAATAATTATCCTTTTTTTTGCACAATGATATCATAACCTTGTTATATATTAAGATTGTTTCATTAAAAATATTTATTGACTTTGAACTCCTCTGCGTTATAACTCACGAGTTTCATATTCTTGCTTATTTTGGAAACATTTTTATTTGTTATATAACTTGATATAACTTGATAACTGTAACTTGATAACTGATAAGAAGAGTATTACTTTACAGTATTTACAGTATGTACGTACTGTACGTACGTATGATAATTGATAACTGATGACTGATGACTGATGACTGATAACTGATAAGAAGAGTTTTGTTATCTGTTATTATAATGAATATAATAATTATATCATTTATATGATTCATGATATAGTAAAAAGAAAAAGAAAACATGAAACATAGGGAAACATAGAAAAAGTAGGAACATTAAAAATATCAAAAATATCAAACCGGTAATCTTTTTATTTTTTTCCTTTTGAATATTTTTGAATATTTTTGTATAATTTATGAACAGGTACTTATCGAACTTACTAACTCTAATGAGATATGATTGACGTATGATTGACATGTTTGTGACACATCATCGTGGTCTATTTTCAATTTGTTATTAGTTGTTTTTTATTTTTCAACTCTATATACCTTTCTTTTTTTTTACTAGTTTGTATACATGCGCATTTAATCTACAAATATTCGATAAATAGTAGTACGATGACACATTACAAATTTACAATAATCCAATTATTCAATTATTCCATACACAAAAAGAATCCAATAAAATGTTGTGTTTGTAAAGTGTCACGTCATATTACAAACTTATTTATACTATACACTTTTTTCATAGTTGTAGTAAATGTTGTGATCGCTGCACAGGATCGCGTCACACTCACAAATCTTTTTACATCACACGGAAGTTACAGATATAATTAGTTGCATTTAATCTAATTTAATAATCTATTTAATAATCTATTTAATCTATTTTAATAATAAATTTAATAATCATATCATAAAAGAAATAAATAATATATTTTAAATCGATTTTTAATATTTTAATACTCAAGCACGAACGATTTAATTTGTCATAGTTACAGTTTTGTTATATCTGATCATCAAACTTTTGATTATACAGTAAGTATCTCGTGAATTTACCACATTGTAAACATAAAGAACACGAGCTTATATATTTGTGTAAAGATTTTTTTTCACATCAAATTCGGTAGCTTGATCAATCATTTTTTTAAATTGGTTACTTTTTATACTATAGATTCATACTTTAAATTCTAATTTTATTACTTTTATAGATTATAGATATTACCTTTTATACCTGTATACCTGTTTACCTGTATTGCTTTTTTTAATGTTACTTTTTTATAAAGATATCTTACTTTTTATTGTTACTTTGATTTATGTGATTAAAATTTAATATATCAAATATCAAAATATCAAATCAGATGTTTATTAGAATTTATCACTAAATTCATTATCGCAATTATATAATTAAAATTATATAAAATTTATAAAATTATTTATAAAATAAAGTCAAAATAATATCAAAGTTCTGCGCAATTGTTCTTTATCCTGTTAAAATATCTAGTTAAATTTAAAGTTCAAAGCTAGGCTTGTTCTTTTCCTTTTACATACCAATTATATATTAATGTAGAATATTCACACATGCGCCTTCAATCCTATCAGTGACTAAAAGGTCATCTGTACGCTAACTTTAAGTTTGATCTTTGCTTCTTAAAAAATTTGGCTACAAATAACCATCTAGGGTTTTATTGTAAAATTTTATGAGTCTGTACTTATCTGATTATATCACGATTTCCTCCAAATGCGCGCTAATTGAAAAAAAATTATTTTTTTGTGCTTATTTGTTCACGAGTCGCAACACGAGGACACCAAAATAAGTCGCGAACTTTGCGTTACTCCCTTATACTCCTTTTATTTACTAGTTTTTATTATGTTTATATACTATAAATTTTTTTTTTTTAAATTAACAATTATCCCTTTTTAATGCAACTCTATTTCTTTACTTTTTTTATTACTATCTATCTATCTATTACTATTACCTTTTTTTTTTTTTGTTTCTTTGATGCATTTCGATTTTATAATCATAATGGCTACACTTTTATAACCTGAATTTTTTAATCATTCCTCTTTTGTATTCAAAAGGCGTCTATTTTCCTTCGGTTCTGCCCACTTTACTAAAAAAAGTATCATTAATACTTTTTCCAGGTGAACTCTGTTTTTAAAAAGTGGCTTTCTAATAATCGCATATAAAACTAATTTTTATTTTTTTTTCACAATACTTTGTTTCATATCGTGTATCAGTATACAACGTTTTGTAGTAAACGCCCTTCTTTAAAAAAAACAATGAATTTTATAATAGTTAAATAATTTTTTGACTTATATTTAAATACTGATTCATAATATACATATATATATTATATACAGTATTACTTTGATTTTCTTTTCTGATCAACAGTAGAAGAAACATGAGGGACGCGACAAATTAATTGATTTGTTATGAATATTATGTGTATTAGTGTATTAGCGTATTAGCGTATTAGTGAGTGTATTAGTGTATTAGTGTATTAGTGTGTATATCTGATATACTATGTATATTACGGTACATTCTAAGAGGGTGTACACTTGATTACCTTAAAAAAATAAAATAAAATTTTTACAATAATATGCATGTTAATGTATAAATGAAATTATCAGCTATTTTTATTCTTTAATTTCTATTGGAATTATCTTTGGTAATACTACTATACTATTGTACTATGTTTTTATCATTTAGTACTTTTCCTTAATATTCGCGAAACTTTTCAAGAATGAGTCACGAGACTCCAATAGGCAAAAACTTTAGTACAATCCGTATAACCGGGATGTCCGATTATTTTTTTATTTTTGTTACCTTAACATTGGGATAAGGCTAGTCATAGTTGATAGTGCCTGATAGTACGTACGTACATACATGGGTTGGCTCTTGGTTTCATGAATAAACTTTATTAGTTATTGTACTTAAAATGTATATATATATGAAAGTTTCTATAATTAAATTGATTTACCCCCGTTCTAATATTAGTTGGTCCCTGATACTGATAGTGAGAATGACCTTGTACCAAATTTGTTATCGATATCACTATTTTAAACCTATATAATCATTTATAACAAAACCCTTGCTTTTTTGTATTTTGTTTTTCATTATTTCATTAATGAAAATTAATACAGGAATGCATTAAATAATATTAAAATTTTTTGAATATTCTAAATATTTTCACACAAATTACAAAATATATTCAAAACATACAGTATTACTTTTCTCCGTCATACGTACATACATACGTAAGTACGTACGAACGTACAGTACGTATATCTGTTTATAAAGAATGAAAAGGTTTAAAATATTTTATTATTATTAGGTTAAATTAAATTTTCTTATCTTAGGGTCGTAGTAATAAATAAAATAAATCAGTAAATCCCGTTGGTTATATTTAGATTAATTGGACTAATAAGATAATAAATCATGTTCAATCCTTGGCAAAACTATAAGGTTACACGTAGTATTTTTACGCGTGGTTGGTCACATTCTCATATTCACGTGATATTAAGGTTCCATTTTATCGGTTCTATGCATGCACATATATAAATGTACTCCCAATTTTAAATTAACGTTAATTGGTAAACTAATCTTTTTATATTTCTCATTCAATTCTTATTTTTTTTTTTTTTTTTAAATTTTAAATTTATTAAAAAAAAAAAAAAAACTACAATGGAACATTTAAGCGGTCAACAATTACTTCAACAAGCTGCCAAATTAATTGCTGAAAATAATTTAGATGAAGCTGTTAAAATTTTTAGTATTCTTGTTGAAAAATTACCTGATGCTCATTTACCTTTGTTGAGTAGGTGTACTTGGTACGACATTTTTGTTTATATCTGTATTCGTTAATTTGATCTCATTAAAGTTATATATTATATATATAATTCGTTATTCATCATTTTCATATTTTTAGTTTGATTCAATTAGAGAGATATGAAGAAGCAAAAATTGATGGTAACTCTTTCATATCATAAATTAAATAAACTTAAATACTACGTAAAATTTACAGTATATATTAATTTTTATCTCTTATTTTTCTAGCTGAAAAGATCCTTGCTTTACCAAATATTCCAATTAGCGATGATATAGCACCTGGAAATACTACTTTACATTCTGTCGGTTATGCTCGATTGGCAAAATGTTATAAAGAACTTGGTCAGGTATTAATCATGTTCTCATCTTCTTGTGATTAATTTTTTCTCTCTCATGATTGATTGATTTCTTCTCATGATTGATTGATTTCTCATAATTGATTAATTAAGATCGAAGAAGCCGAAAAATTAATAAAAAAACGTCAAGAACTTGAAAAAAAAGTAGTAACCCGTAAAGATATTGAAAATATGAATGTTAATTCATCTATTGATTCCAACGATGATGATGATAAAATAATATCTGAAAAATCTGCTGAAAAATTAAGATTACAAGGAAATGAACTTTATAAAAAACAAAAATATAATGAAAGTTTAGAAAAATATATGAAAGCATTTGAAATAGATCCAAATGATTTATTAGTTAATTCTAATTGTGCTCAAGCTTATTTGAAACTTGGTAAATTGGATGAAGCCCTTATTCATGCCGAAACTTGCATTCGTATAGATTCAAAATTTGCAAAAGGATATTATCGTAAAGGTATCACTCTTGATTTTTTTTTTTATTAAATCGGTTGACATACATTATATATATAAGTTATATATATATTTTACATAATTTACTTTATTTATATTTATATTTAATAGGCTGCGTATTACTTGAGAAAAAAAATTTTGTCGAATCAATTTCCGCATTTCAACTGGCAAAACGTTATGGTGCTGCTAAAGAATCTGATTTGGAAAAGAAGATTGAATTTGCAAATAAACAAATTAAGCAACAAAGCAAAAATGTTTCTAATGATACTTTTCGTATTTTTTTATCTAGATTTAGGTTATCCTCATTCACTATTACTGCATTAGTGGTGGTTTTGATTTCTATAATCGCTTGGTTTTTCTTTGACATCTCTGTCTTTAATTACTTTAAAGATTTCTTTTATTGGTTATTGAATTCTTATTTTGGTGATATTTGGTAATTTACTTTATAGAATTTACATAGGTAACTTTTCAATTTTAAATTTTTTTTTGATTTTATTATAATTTTTGATGTAAATAAATTTACACGGTAGTTTCATTCATGCGTTTACATTGCAGTATACGTATTTGTGTATGAAGTCTTTTGGTTCGTTTCAAAATTTAGTAAAATAGAATTTTCTTTTTTAAAATCTTAAAAATTTTATTATACAGTACATCGATATAGATTAATTTAATAATTTACAAGATAGTCTATATACTAGATTATAGTTTATAAAATTAAATCCTAAAAGTTAATAAATTATTCGAAATTAGGTTTAAACACGCGTCATATTTGCACCTTTATCCATAAGTGTACTTTGTCGTGGCTTTCTCTCTTTATAAGTTCATGTCATTTGATCAGCGCAATAAAAAAATTATTTAGATCGAATTACGTCTTTTTTTCCTCACAAGCAAGTGCACGTCTTCCCTGACAGCGTGCACTTATGGAGAATTGACAGTATAAGGTGTAATAATAAGGTCCGTCCTGGTTCGATTTTGGTTCAAAAGTGGTTCAGGTAACAGACCGTAGACCAGACCGAGATCCATAAACTCGTCCACAAACTGATCAGTTCTAATTCAGTCTGGTTCAAGACCGATTTGCTCGAGCCAATAGAAATAAAATTTAAAGATGTTTCAGGCTCTGTAGATAACATAATTAATAAGCTAGAACTATCTTGCCAACTTGTGTGTCATGAACCGAATTTCATCATTTCATAATTTAATTTTAGCTGAAAATTGAAATATTAGGTAATCTGATATAAGAATTTTTCTTCAAATTTAAATAAATTTTTTAAAAAAATCATGAACTTTATCACATAGTGATGTGTAAACTTAATTTCTTAACGCGTAGTTGATAACATAATCTCATTCACGTGATTAAAGTTGTACTACCTTAACATGTAGATAATCAAAACCTCGCACCGTTTTAGCCAATCTGTGCGTATGTAGATATTTTCGACCAAGTTTAGTGAATACAAAAGTTATGGCAAACATACAAGAAGAAGGTCTTGAAAAAGCTATTTCTGATGTAATAAATTTACAAATTCATTGTGTGTGGCATTGGAAGTTTTGGCAAGGTTTTTAAATACGAATGGAGAAACAATGAATTAAGGTCATTAAATGTCTTAAAGTTGATTCATGTATAGATGAAAAAACCATTGAAGTCCTTATTAATGAGGTATTAATTGTTATATTAATTTTAATTGTATTCTGCTACAGATAATAATTTATTTATTTGTATATTCATGTAATTAGCCTAAACAATTACGAATAATTTGTTACTTTCCAAACGTGCTATTACGTTCTATGGGGTCACGAATGGTAAATCTGTGATTTATAATTTTTTGTGGTATCAAATAATAATTATATTAAATAAAAATGTTTATTAATTGAATATATAGATGCCTATGGATATTATAGCATGGTTTTACAATATGCTAATAAATGGAACTTTATATGAATACCTAAAGGTAAGTTTTATTCATTACATAGTGCTAAGGAAATAGCACTCGGACCTTTATTGTATCATATAATTTTTTTAATTTACCAATACTTTAATTATTAATACTTCGATAATTTAGAATTCGAAGATTATCTTAATTCATCCAATTCATCAAAGAAAGCCAAGGATTTAATGATCGCAGATTTTGGATTATCAAAACAAATAAATGAAATGTTTGTGATTTCAAACTCAATTGTTTGTTTATGCAAGGATATCGACGTGATAAGATATCTGATGTCTATAGTATATAGTATATAGTCCTTTTGGAAATTTTAAGTGGAAAGCCATCATCCCAACGCTTTACAAATTAAATGATTTGAGAACTTGTAGCGGTACTCCCAGCAAATGGATTGAAGCTGGAAGGTGCGCCATCTCAATATGTTGAACCCAGAAAAAAAGATTTAATTTTCAATACTTTAAAACAACTTATTCCTAACGAAATTTTGAAACTTTGAATCAACATCATCCTATTGAAACATCGTTTTAACATAGCGAAATTCCTTCAGCTCGTAAGGCAATATTAGCAACCCATTAATTTATACACGAAATTATGGCAGACGGCCAGCGAAATGTTTTAATATTTTCATCAGCACTCCAAAATGGCTTATGGCGAAATTATTTTCTCCTAGAAAAATTCTAAATTTAATACTGCCTAGCAAAATTGATTCTGCTGACGATTCTTTTTTTTTTCGATCACGGGTTTTCTGTTTCGGATTATGTATGAATGCATTTTTAAATTTTTATATATTGTTTTTTATTTGATTATTCAATTGTTTTTTTAATCTGATGAATAAAATTAATTTTTTTTTTTATTCGATCCGTGTTTCTTTTTTTTAATTTGATGAATAAAATTTAAGAGATAAAGAAACTAGAATTAAAGATAGAAACAATTAAAGAGCTATTTTATTGGCAAAAGTAAAATGCAATATATAATTCGAATATAAACTGGATTTAAAATATAATCCTGATATTCTGATACTCTGATATCTGTTAGAATATCCGGTTATATAATATATTTTCATCATCCAAAAATATTTCGTCGAATATAATTTCGCTTATTTAGATTCACGTCAAGAGCAAAGGAATTTCGCTACCATGTACACATCAATTTACTTAATTTACCTGAATTAGGACATTCTTGAGAATTTGAGAAAGAAAGCATATGAATGTTTTGAGCAAGGCAAATTTCTGAAAGCATAGAACTTTTTGAAAAAATTATCGGAAACAGCCAGCATAGCTCTGGAGATCAAAAAATTGCTTCGACCTTTCATGGGATAAATGTGGATTGAAAAATTTAAACGAGTGCACTTTGCAGAAACATCACATTGACTTCTTTGAATCCTTATTACAGTATAATAATCTTGGATCAAAAGGAGGAAAAGCGCACTTTGTAAGAACACTGCACTGAAAAATTTGAATATTATGATATAAATAACCCGAATAAGAAGGAGGAAAAAACATTAGCAGATGTACTTTTCAAAAACATCACGTTGACTTCTTCAAATCTTCGATCTATTCAACACCATACTGACTTCTTTAATCTTAGTTTAATAATATTGGACTGTTAAGAATTAGCAGATGCACTTTGCAAGAGCACTACGTTGACTATTTACAGTATTAGCAGATACACATTGTAAAACATCACGCTGAAAGATTTGGAAATACGATCTAATAACTTTACTGTAAGATCAGACGATTCAAGCATTAAAATAGTTCAATAGAATATAATCAATTTTGATTAAATAATTGAAATAGTTTGCAAGATGAACTGTATATTTTATCTAAAATATAAATATTGCATCATGTACTGTATGTATAATTAATAAAAAATAAAGCGATTAATTTATTATTATTATTATTATTATTATTATTATTATTATTATTATTATTTAAATTTATCAAATTTATTAATTTCATGCGTAAGATATAATAACGTTCCAAAAAGGTCAGATATATCTAAAACATCTAAATCAAATTTATTAAGTTCGAAATGACAAACTTGCAACTGTCATATTCTTAAACCTCAAATATACGCGGATATTTTAGAAGACCCACACGTAGGAAGTTCAAAAAATGGTACATATTATGAAAAAACTGGCCTTGTCAAATACATTGATAATCTTCTCCAAACTAATCCTAATTCTAAAAAAGCCAAATTTTAATAATCGGAGCAAAGAAACATGAAAACCTAAAAGATACTTCATTGCTGTAATGAAGACTGTCAACATTATCACTAAGGACGTATTTTTATTGCCCGGAGGAACATATGTTAACCCATTAGATTTCCGTACACAATCTATAAGCAACAGTATTAGATGTAAACGTTGTTACCAAGAATATATGGCAATAGAAGATATTGGGCGTCACGATTATGGATAAAAACTTTTTGTAAGGAAGTGTTAGACGAAATCTTTACGTAAAAACACTTCTTTAATAGACTTAAATTTACAAAATAATAATCTTGAAGACAAGGGAAAGAAAGTGGTTGAAGAAATACTTCAGATGAATACCACGCTATATTATCTTCAATTAATTGATTTAATTGAAAAATCGGAAAAAAGGTGGCCCAGCAAGGAGCCAAATTAGGTCACCAAAATAATTATCTTGAAGACGAGGGGAAAAAAAGTGGTTGAAAATATACTTGATATAAATACCACGCTATGTTTGTTATCTTCAATAATTGATTTAATTGAAAATCGGAAAAAAGGTGGCTCAGGAAGGAACCAAATTATGTCACCAAAATAATTATCTTGAAGACGAGGGAAAGAAAGTGGTTGAAGATATACTTCAGATGAATACCACGCTGTGCTATCTTCAATTAATTAATTTAATTGAAAATCAAAAAAAGGTGGCCCAGCAAGGAGCCAAATTAGGTCACCAAAATTTTAAGAAGTGTACTATTTGCTCACGTGAAAACTGGAAAAGACACTTATGAAAAAAATTAGAGAAAAAATTGTTTGAAGGTTTTAAGTTGGGGTTTGAAGCGATAAGTATGGACGAAACTACTTTAGTGATAAAGAAGAAAAAGTAGCATTCGAAATGTTTTATTGTCATAAATATGCAACAGAAAATGTAGTAAAAAAGATAAGTTTATGACCAAGAAACAATGAATGAATGAAACAGAAATATTTAGACTCTTTGAATTCTTGAAAATTAACCTCAAGAAAAATGGAATGAATCAAAAAATGTTGAACATATAAAAATAATAAAACAAACACTATTTTTGATAGGTATAATTACCAAAGTATAGAACGCGTAGAAGACCTTATACCTTCCTATGAAAATACACCTCTCTACGAAAACAGTGACGAGGAATCCGAATATAAAGTATCTAAATTAATCAAACAAATGCTAAATATATCGATATTGTTCAATTTGTATTTAATTGTAACAATCTTTTGCATTTTAAACTATTTTGCGAAAATTCATGAATTTAAAGTTTTGACCCATCAGAACATCCTTATGAAAAAATGGCCTACCTTTCTTTTTTCATCACGAAATGATAACTCTGTCAGTTTATTCACACATTGTTTAAATTGGCATAAATATAAGGAAACGTACACATGAAAGTATTACTAACTAATTCTAGTAAAAAAAAAAAGTGCGGCTGATTCTTCGTGACTGATTTGATTCTAGTAAAAAAACATAATTGACTTTGATAAAATCCAGTATTACTACTGATTTTGGTAAAAGTAACAATTAAGTTTAATACCATAAATTCTCGAAATATCGGGCACGGGCGCTATTTCGAAACCCCTTTGAAAATAGCCTAGTCTCGAAATAACGTCATATGCGTCTCGAAATAACGCGCAATTCGTGTAACATACCAGTGGATTTATATAATTTCTCTAATTCCTACCAACACTAAGTCTATACCGAGCTAACCCTAAATTTAAATCAACTTAGTCTAAATTTGGCCGAACTTAGCTGTCAGGAAAAATCGATCCTCTATCTCAAACAACGCACATAGGAATATTCGAAATAACGCGAAGGTGATTGAAATAACGTGCAAATGCCCGTTATTTCGAGAATTTGCAGTAAGAAGAATTTTGAATTGAATTAGTTAATTAATTAGAATCAAATCAATAAGGAAATGCCTTGTTCGAAGATTTAAAAATTATTAAATCAGCCAAATAACCATATATATATTTTATTTAAGAATTTTTTTTTTGTAAACTGTATGTTACATTATTAGAAATACGTTTTCCCGGTTCTTATTTATACAATACTTCCATATTATGTGTAATAAAAAAATGTACATAGTCAACTTTCCATAAATGCACTCGTGAGAATCTAATGATAACGCATTATAATGAGAATTCTAAATCTAATATATTATCATGGAATTTAAATTTTGGTTAAATGATGTGCATTTAAAGAGAGAAAGCCACAGGGAGGGCACTTATATAGGGTGCATTTGACTGTACAGTATATAAATTTACACTTTTTTGACAAATTTTTACTTCATATTTACGAATAACTCAATTTCGAATCAACATAAATTAAAAATAAACGCAAACATAAACTACACATAATTTACTCCATAAAATAGTATATAACCTGTCGCGTTGCTCCAGGAAACACTTGGATGTTGATGGTGCGTTAATTAGCTGGAATATTTGTAATTAAAAAAAAAGTTTAAATAATTTTATCAAATAAATTAAAACAAATTATATATAATGAATTTTAATAGAACAGGCAAACCCCATAATTCAATATTATTTCTACTTGGATCATATTTCTTTTTCATTTACAAAAAGTATATTCCTTCTCATTTTTCATAAAATTTAACCTATTTTACTATTTTATTAAGGATATTTTTTCATAACGTTATAATTGGGAATTTTTTTACAGTCAAGAATAATAGTAGTTCTTAATTAAGTACGCGCAATAAGGATAGTGACGAATAATACGTAATATTTTTTTGCTATACCCTCTCCCTCCTCCCCCTACGTAAGAGAAATTTGATTGGCTATTATAAAATTTAAACACAGTATCTATCATAACTAGAGAATAAGCCCGCATAAAATTTCTACTCCGGGTAACCCACCCGTATAACAAATTCTTAACCGGATAACAACCCGGTTAACTCGAATAATCCGGTTAACCCGGCTAACCCGGTTAAGATATTAAAAAAATTTTGTGTTCCTTATTATTACAGTTGTTCTCATAAAATTTGCAACAAACTAAAAATTTGTTCGTTTCCCGAGACCTCTTTGGTTTCGTCCTAAAGGTCACCTAACTCTTCGGAACTTCAGTCCGGAGATAACAATGTATTTTCCGAAGAGTTAGATAATCCATAGGACGAAACTGAAGATTTTGGGAAACGAGCAAATTTTTAGTTTGTCCCAAAATTTATGAGAATAGCTGTATTTCCGAAAACCAATAGTAATTCGGAATTCTTATTTACAGCTATTTTCATAATTTCTGGAACACCTGCTCATTACCCGAAATCTTTTTGGTCGTTCGGTAAATTACCTAACTCTCCAGAAACTACATCGTTGTTTTCAAACCTCCAGTCCGGAGGCAGTGATATAATTTCCGGAGTTGGGCAATTTACCGAACAACCAAAAAGATTTCGGGTAATGAGCAGGTGTTCCAGAAATTATGAAAATAGCAGTAAGCCCAATTACAAAAAGTCGCTATGTAAAAGGTCAGAACTGGCTAATATAACAGTATACTAGTATAATGTGAATGAATCGGGTTATTTCATTATTCAAATCATCGTGAATCGCATATAAACCGGGTTGTTTTATTTATTTTCTAATTTTAATTTCTTATCCGGGTTAACCGGTTAACAAAGTTTTTACCCAGATAAGAGTGCTTATACGGGTTACCTGGGTAATCCTTATCCGGGCCTAATCTCTACTTACAACCCAGACAGAATTAAACACAGCCTATATGCCTTAAGAAGAAGTACCAACGTGCATATATTAATAGTTACCTTAATTGGAAAACTATTATTTCTCCAGCAATCTATCATATATACTACCAACAAATATGATACTTAACATGTGACTGATAAGCGAAGAGACTTGACTGGCAAAACAAAAACAACATTAGTGTACCAGCAGATTTTAGGTCAGAAACATGGAAATATAGTCAATCGGATTTTTTTAATTATTAAAAAGGAACTAGCAATAGAAAATCGGCTATATATATATCTATATATTTGCCTTGATATATGACTTGACCAGCAAAACAAAAACTAGTCTATCTGGAAGACTTTGGTCTAGAATTATCAAAGTATAATCGACCGAATTTTACTTAGATATGCAATATAAAAGAAACCAGTACTAAAGAACCTGGTTATAAATACACAGATGCAATATATAACCTGGAACCAGTGATAGAACCTCAATCAGTAAAGTATGGGCCAAGCATTATATTGAAGCACGCATTAAATCAATCAGCTAGGGCAAATCAATGATCTTATGTAAACTTATAGTAGACCTTATTGATCACTGATTAAATTAGAATTAGGATCGAACAGAATTAATCAGATAAAAAAAAAAAAAAAAAAAAATACTACTTGATACAACAATAGAAATCGAAGTTTAAATAGAAATGTCAAGCCTATTTATTAAAACAATTAGACTCTACATAATACAACACTAATTATTTCAATGACCAATGCATCGACTAGAGAATTAACAAAGCAAAAAGAACAAACAATGCCAGAATGCTATTACCTGTCGCTCTGGTGAATTAGTTGGAAAATAAAAAAAATCAAAGAAATTACTTATTTAAAAGAAGCTCTATTACATCGGAGTCTTGAAAGCATCTGTCCAATAGGTACAGAGGAATGCAAGCTGACAAAGACAGTGCAAACCCACGATAAGACTTTCAAGCCTAGATGGAAAGCTTAACAAAACTTGAGCATAGACGATGGAATTGATTAAATCGATTAAACTAAAGAAGAAATTACTTATCTAGATTAAGGAACATTTTTAACCTTACAAAGAATGATTGGAAATTACCTTGATGTTAAATAGTTTAAAAATTATTATTAGTATTATTATTTATTTATTTTTTTTTTGTCAAAATAATTATTGGTACCGGATAGGTTCTGGATTACATACCTGAAAAATTATTCTTGACATTACTACTTGGTAAACCCACCAGTTAGTCGTACGCCAAAATGGCATTAAAATAGCACTGCCTAAGACATTATGCAAAAAGACAATAAGTAGTTAGCTTGCCGATCAGCTGTATGCAAAAGAGGACTTAACATTGGAGGGAGCGAGCCTGTCCGTAAGACATGACACGTAAATTATCTTAGGAATTCATTAAATTATTTAATTATTAGTATTATGGCTACCGAATGCCAAATTCGGATTATATTTTTTTACACACCTTAAATTATCAAGGCTTGGGATAGCAAAGACCCAAAACAATGATTCCGATTAAGGCTCTTCGATGACTAAAATATCACAAACTTAAGAAACCATATTAGTACAGTTTTAACGAATTCAACAAAGAAATAATAGCGATTGCTGAAGGAAATTCCATATCCGATCCATAATGAAATACTTCGCTTATGCCATGCTAGAAGAAAGTTCTAGTGTTTCTTCAATTAAACCCGC